TGTACTGTCTAGAGGAATCTGTGTTTTCTCCTTCACCACGTGGTGTTGAAAGGATCTGTCAGCTGTGCTTATAATGGTTTGTAATAACCGTTTGCTAAAAGAGGACATTAGGGGGAGGATACTCTACTCAACTTGAGAGCATTAACCATGAGACAGAAAACAAAGGTGTCAATCATTTAATGATCTATGTTGTTGAGAAGATAAGTGTGTGTTTTCACTCCTCTACGCTGGAAATGATCAGTTGTGTGAATGCTGAGCTCGGGAGCTGAGCGATCACAGAGGCAGAGAGTGGGAGGGGCACTCTCACACACACACATGCGCACACACACACACACACGCACTTGGTAGTGAGCTTGTAAGTATTGGATGCTGCCGTTGCTTCAGCAGCTGGATGTTCGGGACTGGAAGTGTGTCAGCACGGAGAATAGGACTGAGTGTTTGTGTTGTGTTTTTGCCTGCTGGATCTGTGTGTGTGTGTGTGTGTCTGTGTGCGTGTGTGCTGTTTGTTTTATAGGAATGGTGTCAGTGGGTCTTTAGCACACATTTACGACAGTGTGCGTGTGTGTGTGTGTGTGTCGGGAGGACTGAATCATCGGGTTCAGGAGTGCGTTGCTGACTTTGATTCAGGGTGTGTTTTCATACTGGAGAGCGAGGGGCTGCGGGGTCTCAAGAGAAGGAATATAGATGTAGCATTACAGGAAGACGAGATGATAGACCCCCTTTAGGGGCTGCAGGACTGCCCCAAAAATGGGAAACAGCGTCCAGCAGAAGAAGAAGAAGGTTCAGAAGGAGAAAATCTCGAGCAAGGACAGACCTAAAGGCTTCTGGTTGTTTGGACATAGAGACAAGCTGAAAACAGGTAAGTCTGGAATGGATACACATCACTTGTCATAAATATTCATTGAATCTTGTTCCCCTGTAGTTGTAAAAACCAGACTTGTTTTGAATGTGGCCACTTTGAGAAGCGCCAATCTCCTCAGGAGTTAGTACAAACCAAAACAAAGCTCAAAGTTGAGTGAATATTGATATCAACTTGATGACGTAATAAGATGTCAGTGTTGTGTTTACAGATTGTTCTGCATCAGTTATTGCTGCTTTAGTAAAGGACACTTGGAGCCATGCAGCTCTTCTGTTATTTTGCTGTGACAAAACAAATAATAACTGCGAGCATCTAAGCATGATGGTATTGTTTCTCTCTTATTTTTAGTGTGTTTTTGGCGCGTTCATTGGCAAAGACTGTCTCCTGGCTCACCAGTACTCTATTTCTAAAGCACAATTTAATTTTCATTTTCACTTGAATCCGTCTACTGGTTTTTAGCCAAGAAAATAATAATAATGTACCAAACCCAAAAGGCCAAGTCAGTGTGGCCGTGTTTTGATGAAATATTTCCACTGTTTATATTTTTTAAGTGATTTTTTTTTATGAACAAGATGCTGACACAGCAATTTGTCCACCACAAACCTTCCACAGATCGGTGTCGCCTCTTTCGTTAGTCGGCGGTCGTGGTTGTATGGCCATTAGTTGGAGTTGTTGCATTAGAATATTACCAAATGCATCTATCTGCTTGTGTCAGAAATATGACCAACATTAGCTGGAACCAAACAGCAATAACAATTAGACCAAAACTAATCAATTCTTTTTCTCAAGGGTGATATTTTTCTATTGCAGTCAGACTTTCAGATGAAAGAAGTAAACAATTGATATTTTAGCCTGATTTTTTTGTTTCACCAACATGGCTGAAATTGGTTTTGTGTGCGAGTGTGTGTGTGTGTGTGTGTGTGTGTGTCTACAAAAAAAGACTCCTCGCTGTAGATAACGAATGTGCTTCTACACAATCACATCTTGAATTCGTTTTCTGTCCGGGTGGTCGATGTCTACGTGGCCGTGTGTGATCGCCGTTCTCCTGAATTCACCGCCTCATTCACGGGGAGTTTATTCAGAAAGTTGGGGTGTGAATGCATTCCTACATTCCATGTCCATCTCCTCGCGCATGAGCACCCATACAGCTCACAGACACACAACCTCTTGAAATGAGGCTCGATTCCTGTTTTTTTTAGGTTATTGCAGCTGCTTTTTGTTACACAATATACCCCAAAAAATGATGGCCGATTGAGCAAGAGGAAAAAGAGAAGAGTGTTTTCTCTGCAGCTGCATTGATGCAATACTCCTCAAGGTTGTTGACTCAGTACCAGTAAAACCATAGCTAATGGATTAAAAGCAACCAGTACATGGTCTCTCTCTGTGCCGCAGTAACGCAGCTTCAGCCGGGCCAATGAAACACGCAGGGGATGAACTCAGTGACTGGATCCTCACCGTGTGCTCCCGAAATATGTGTCATGTGTGTGTGGCTTTGGTCAAGTTCCAAACCAGACACCCTGCCTGTGTCCTTCACAACACCTGAGAGGTCGTTTATGTTGTTTAACACATAACAGACTGGATGTCACAAAGGGATGGATGATTTGGAAAAATATTGCGGTATTGCAAGTGCGATAGGATTCGCGATATTAGATGGAGCGATACGTTTTACGTAATTATTCTCATTTTCATTGAAAACCATGTTTTGAAACGACTATAACGTCAACAAGAGTTCTGAGCTTTTAGTCCTTAAACCTCAAATAGTGTGAGATCAACATCCGTTGATGTCAAAATAGTTACACATTCATTTTCTGCTGATCGACTAATACATTCATCCACTATGTGAATTGTTTCTCAAAACAATTGTTGACCACGAAGATGAAACTAGAGGCTTCAGAACCTTTTTTGATATGAGCTCACAAACCGTTAAAAGACACAATGTGGTGTGCAGGGTTGAGATGCTGCCAGCTGAGCTCCAAAGTCACAAAGATGCCTATTCATCTGGTGATGTGAGCGCGAGGACAGTAGCTGCAGTGGATAAGATTAGCTCACTATGAGCTCACTTTACTGCATCCACAGGTGGTCAGAGGCAGCCACACACACACACACACACACACACACACAAACAAACACACTCACATCCTTTCATTCTCGGGCCCTTTTGAGCTTTTTTTGAACTCATGTGACGTAACTGACGGGCCTCCAGATGTTTCATATTACCTTCTCATAACTGTCCACGCTGCAGGGAGAACCTCAGCTGGCTTTCATCACAGGATAGTTTGTTTCTGCACTAAGATGAGATGAATGATCCATCTGATGAACTACTATCGCTGTACACTTGAAACTGAAATATTAGGACATGTTTTTAAACTCGCACACCTCTGCCTTTTATCCTTCACCTCATTCCTTCACACTCCTCTCTGCTTCCTCTCGGCTGTTATCTTCTTGACCTTGGATCGTTGGCTGCTTATTTCTCGTCATTCCAAACGGGAGACATTTACACGTCAGATTTAAACTCTGACTGTAATAAAACTGGGGAATAAACTGTGACAGTGAAGGACTGAGAGGTGAAGTAACGTGAAAAGCGGTGACAGCATGAGGGAGGGAGAGGGGCGACTCGTCTGGAGGATATAAAGGGTGGAGAAGAAAAGAGGAACACGTTGCCGTGTATAATTCGAGAACAAGGCTGCCAGCAGATTTGCCCTGCCATTTTCATTACGACTGTCTTGTGCGGCTTGTGATATTCCATATTCCATTATCCCGCTGGGTGAGGCTCGCCTAAGCCTTTTGATTTCTGTAAGCTGGGCTAAGACGCCTCTCTTCTTGGCCCTCCTTTGAAGATCCCATTTACTGTGTGCTTCTGTCAAAGCTGTGGACTCCCTGCAGAGAGCCGTGGCAACACACAGTTGGATAAAGAGAAGATGACTTTTCGTCTCTGCTATCTTTCCCTTCCTACGCTTCGTCTTCCAGCCCCGATATCTTATGTTTTGATACCGTTTCTCTCCGTGAATCTCACCGCTCTCACTAGCAGGTGCGACTCGACGGCATACGTGACCTCCGTCCCCCCTCTTTTTCCTTTCTTTTCATGCTCTTTTTGAAGCTGCGTTTGCTACCGCAGGAGACAAAACAACAGGAAGGATGATGGAGTTTTTCTTTAACCAACCTCTGTCTACTTACTTTCCAGATTCTGTGCTTTAGACCGTCTGTTTTGCATCAGTAAAATGATGTTTGATCTGTTTGTAATTCTCACCATCAGTTTTTCATCTGTAACATCTTGTTCTGGCCTGTTGCACCAACGTGTCGCCTCTCTTTGGAGATGAATGGAAGTCGTTAACTTCTTCCTCTACTCTGTTCTCTCATGCCCTTTATCTGTAGGAACTTCTTTTTTTTTTCCTCTATGTGAAAGGACTTTTGTTTTTTTGGCAGCATGTAATTGTGGTTCGTCTGCGTACTCTGGTCCTATATGTAGTGTGGGAATTCTTTAGCCATTGGATATCCAGAGCACTGTTAAGACCCGTTTGCAAGTCTCATGCATGCATAAAAAATGAAAGTGTACGTTAGGAGTATTCCTAAATTGCTTTGCAGAGATTTGACCCACATTTTACTTAAGCTTCCAATGGGAAATAAATCCTGTTATTCCAGCCCTAGTTTGGAGCAGTGCTTGGCTCATTAAAAAATCTTGTATGACTACCTGCTGATACATTACACCATGTATGACATTCATTTTCCATTACAGCTGTTTTCTGTAGCTCAGCCCCAAACAAACACTGTTAGTGACAAGCTGGTGAACATAGTGGAGGATTTAGAAGCCTTTACACACTGGGAGCTTGACAAATAAACGACAGGAAATGCAAAATACTCACCTGCGAATATTTCGCAAAAAAACTATTCATACCGGCAGCGATGCGAATTTCCGAAAGTTGCAGCACTTTTTAAATAGAAGGTTCAAATAGAGTAGTGAAGGTAGAGGACCGACTACCGGGAGCCTATTGACCCAGAGCAGCGTCTGGCAGTCTGTCTGAGCTAACGTGTTGTATAGTCAAAGCTACTGAAAGCTATTTTAGTTTCCTTGAATTAAAATGTTCTGAGTGAAATTGAGTTCCCTCTGGTTAAGCGTTACACAGTGTATATGTCTAGGGCTTTTATTGTGAAAGGTGCGGAAGGAGTGGATCTGGTCTGCCTTTGTCAAGATTGAAATGAGTAATAAAGTTTGCCGACTTGGCTCTTGACTATGGAGCCTCTCTGTTGTTGTACATTTTTGTATACGCTTTGAAAATGGCGATTCTGCACAATTTGATTGGTTGATGCCTTTATTCAAGGTGCGAAAGCTCAGAGAAAATTGCTCCAAAATGAAATTAAGTTGCTTTTTCACCTTAAAAACAATAGTTAAACATAAACCTGCCACTAAACAAATACTAATGTTGCACTGTGTGTACATATACGAAGATCAGGTGACAGGAAAAGTTACATTTCTGTAGTTCTGTTTAAGTTGTGTCATTGGACTTTGTGTTTGAGTAACATGTGTTCGCCATGTTGCTGCACCAAACCTCCACAGCTTCAGTGGATCAGAGAGATGTCTCTGCTGTATAAAAGGACTCAGTGTTTGGATTTCTCTCCAGTGGCTTCCTGCATCGCCACCTAAATTGAATTAAATCATCAGACGATACCATTAAACAGCACACGCGCGCGCACATAACTGTGCGTGACGTGGCTTGGGTTTCATGTTTATCATTTTAAAATGAGAACAAAATAATCTTTTACTGCTCTCCTTAGGCTTCATTTTCCACCATCACTGTGTCCAATCGATCATTTGAAACTTGTGACCGTCTTCGCTCTCAGCATGTCCTGCCCCGCTGCTGGAGAACAAAGCGGCATCAACCCTAAAATCAAAGCTCGCTGAAATTAAGTTATCCATCAATCAAATTGTTTTTTACTGGTCGTCTCAAAGTTCTCACTCAGAGTTTTCTTCTGTCACTGATGAATTTAAGTAAAATCCCCTTCCCACAACACCCTGGAAGTGTTTGTCTCGTCACACATTGAAATGACAATTAGCTAGTAACGACCATTGAAGATAATTTAAAAACCTAGTAGTTGTACAGAATCATTAATACAGAACCATAAATATGTATGTAATCTATGTGATGATGAACGAGGACGTTTAAAGACAGCAAAAACCCACAGAGGGAGGATGGAAAAAGAGGGGGATGGGGTTCATTTATTTGTCACGTAACTGTCGTACTTAAGTGACCCCACTTATGTAGTTATTTTGACCCAAACCACAATCTTTTCCTCAACATAACCAAGTTGTTTCCTGTGAAGACTGAAGTTTATTTTGAAAAGACTGAGCAGAAAGTGACACGTTGCTGGACTTCCCTAGGAAAACGCACAAAAAATGATATCGTAAGATATCATACAAACCGCTGTATGAAGCTTTGTGTAGTGAAGGTAGTAAAATAATGAATGTATAAATAGTATCTATGTACTATTTACTGTACATGTCATGTCAATCAGTGTAATACAACGGCCATAATAAACCTCAACAACTAAGGTTCTGTAATCTTATTGGGGTCAGGACTCGGTTCTACTGAGGAGCTGATTATGTTCCAAGCAGACGGCGCCAGCGGAGGACACTTTGTGTTCTTCAACATTTGGCAGCAGGTTTACTCAAACACGCTTCCCGACTGATTCAGTCCAAATGGTTTCGACTTGTTTACCAAAGGGAAGCTTAGTTCATTGGCCGTGCATAACGGGATTTCACTGAGAGAGAGTGATGAGGATGAGGAGTGTTTCTGGGACTTTAGTGAAGGCTCACAATTGGCAGAATGAGATGTTGTTGTCTGTGGGCAGGAGGCACACACACACACACACACACACACACACACACACACACACACACACAACCCTCAGTGTCTGCATTCTGGAAAACACACACGTTGTAGCATTTATAGTGCTAATGACCGAGCTAGTTGGTGTGTTACATGTGTGGTGCATTGAAAACAGGCTGCGTCTGTTCAAGCCTAATGTGTTCAGTGTGATTCGGATGAGAGTCAACGGACTTAAAGTCACTTGTAGTTCACAGCTCAGCACTCTGGACGTCAGCAGATGTCTTTCCATCTAAACTCTGCTCCTCATCAGCACACTTTGTAGTGATAAAAAGCATCGACATGTTTTAGATTTTACTTCGTTAAACAGCTTCTAAATCCATTCCGACGTGTTTCAGCAATTTGTGACTGAATTAGGACATGAGTCCATGTACAGAAAAAAAAAGAAAAGGATGGTTGTTTCACAGAAATGTTCCTCGTCTGGAAATCTTCACAATATCTATCACTTCCAGAGGAGCATGAGGACATAAAATGATGGAAATGACATTTTGGTTAGAAGGTAAGTCAAACGCAGACATTGTGATTCACTAATGAGATAAACCAGACTGTGACATTTGGATATTGTATCATTACAGCAATTGAGAAAAGGTTAAGGAAGTGGGGAGTTTGAGAAGCTGCTCAATGCGGAACAATTTATTTTAACTGTAAAATAAGACGTCTTTATCTCAGTGGAAGTTTTAAAGGCCTTACGGGTCTTGGTCAGTGACGTCCATCCGTCTGAGTCAAGTGTCGGTGCTAGATTTTTTTGATAACAGGATAGATAAGGAAATCCGTGAAACCACTGACTTTTAAAACAAGTAGATTTAATGATAGGTGTTACGGCATATGGCTCAAATGGCCAAAACAATATGACCATTTAAAGAAAAGTGGCTTTATTGACACAAACTAAAGGAGATTAGACTTTAAGTAATTAAAGTATAGGGTGTGGATATCAGTGGGTGCTGTGCATGAGTGGAAGATGTGGGTGCAGACATTGAAAATGTGCATAAATGCAAAGCAAGAAACTAAGACAACGTCACCAAACCAAACGGGAAAGAAGCAGAACAGAAAGTCAGCCACAGAAAAGGCTACCAGGTGCCTCCAGACTGAAATAACCTGGGATCACCCTCAGGTGTCTCCAGTCGCTCTAATGATCACCTGCAGAGAGAGCACAGACAGGTGAATCACCCAGCAAACCAGGTGACACCAAAAGGGTCATCACAACCGGAAAGAGGGACATGGATGAAGTCACATATACTAAAACTGTAGAAAAGTTCAGGTCAAGTTTTAGTTTAGTAACATTTTTTTTGAAAAGCACAAAAATAAACACTCTTAATTATCTTAATATCTTTGTTTTTCCTAATTTAAACCATTGGTCTGCCAGCGAGGTAATTAGATTCTTCCAAACATATCAAATGGTTTCGCGTATAAATACTGACTTAACAGAAAGTGAGATGAGAGGATTGATGCCACTACGGCAAATATTTGGCTACAGCCAGGATCCCGTTAGCTTAGCTTAGCATAAAGACTGGAAGCAGGGGATGACATAACCACAACTCGTCGTTTTCACTCTTTGATTTTTGTAGGAATTATACAAACTAGATATAGTGTGTTAATTAGCGAGCTTTACATGGTCTGGTTGGTGGACATATTGTTACCTTTGCTGTCCAAAGTTAACAAAAGCCATGCTAGCTCCTTCCCTCTGTTACCAGTCTTTGTGCTGAACTATAAGCCGATCGAGCTGCCGGCTTTAGCTTCATGTTTATTGACAGATACGAGAGCGGAATCAATCTTCTCATCTCACTTTCCGCCAGAAAGCAAATAAGAAAACGTACCAAAATGTCAAACCTAACTATAAGACTACATGGCAAGACATTTTTATAATATGCTCTTTTTTGTTGTTGCTAAGACTGTTTTTAAAGTTTGCTTCCGTTCAAAACAGCCGATCGAGTCCTCAGACTTCTCTGAGGATGGACTTCAGGCCCAACAAAGGAGTCGGACTTGTCCCGTCCTGCTCGGAGAGGAGTCTGTGAGGAAGCCGTCGGTCTCTCATTAACTCATCAATCATGCTCAATGAGTCCATCCGCCATTAGGAAGAACCTCGAATAACCTGCAGCCTTTTTGTTCTCTCTCTAGCTGTTGCCTGAGTGGTTTTTCTTTACTGATTACTAATGTAGAGATGGAGTTTTGGCTTCTCTTCAGTTGGCTTCATGTTAAGTTATTGGCATCTGGAAACATGCAACATAAATTAAGACTGTCTCTGGACTATGTCTTCTCTCATGGAAGCTTTTGTGTCTCTCCAAACCCTCTAATTTTCCAGGGTCATCCTGAGGACTCCTATGCTCACTCCCACACCAATTGGCAACAAATAGCTTTATTATCTTGTGTTAAGACTGTAGACGAATGAAGGGAACAGTGGATCAACTGTGTCTCCGCTGTGAGGCGTCCGTATCTGTATCGGTGTTTGCAGAGCTCTCAGTTTGGCTCGAAAAAAAGCTTTTAAGTTGGAACGACAGGAAGCAAAAAACAGCTCCATGAGGGAAAATACCCACAATCCCCTTATCAGGTAGAGAGAGAATGAACAGGTGGGAGAGCAAGAGAGGGATAATTACCACAAAAAAAAAAGAGTTGCTATTTTTAAGCAGTTAGTGCTCCAGCATGTTGGTTTAGCTCCGTGTTTGTGTTTCCTGAAGTGGAATCAGTCACCTCAGCTCAGGTGTGCAACCTGCTTCAGGCCAGGATTAAGAAATAGAGAGTTGATCTGTGCTGAAGAAACGAGACATCGGGGTTAGGTTATTAGGTTTTCTCTCTTTTCCCCCCCTTTGCCCTCTTCGTCCTCCTTAACCATTTCTATTCAACCCACTCTCTTCCTTTCATGTTCACCTCTGTATCTCACTCCCTCTGTGACTCGCCCAGAGGAGATCAGAAATGCGTTGGTTCACGAGTCGTGAGAGTTACTGTACTTTGATTTATGTCCTTCCTCTCCACTGTACCCTTGCCTCCTCCTCCTATTTCCTCAGCCTTTCCCTCCGTCTCCTTCCTCGTGTCTCTGGCAATTTGTCTCCACCTCCCCAGAGTCCCGTTGTGCAGGTGTTACAGTTTGTGTGTTTTGTTTTTTTGCTCCCTCTACGTCTGTTAGCTCTCATCAGATAGTTACAGTAACAAATGAGTCTAATCCCACAGTTCATATTTCATTCTGTGCAGGCCACCTGAACAATCTGTGCCAATTATTATCTTAAGATACATGAAACATGAAATGTTCCACTAGATATGTGCATGGAGGATGGGGGTTAGCCTGCCTCTCTCTCCCTGGTTTATACTACACCGCTCATAACTCAAGTCCACCACAACAGCCATAGAATACAAATGAGGGGAGCAGCAACGAGCTGAATAATGACACCTGTGTGTGTGTGTGTGTGTATGCGTGTGTGTTGGAGCGAGGTTTATTGCTGGTCACATTTTAACCCTTTCTTTCTGTACTCTGGCATTTTTATTACCTCTATCCAAAGCAGCCGTAGGCAACCTCAGGCCCGCCGTAGCTTGACCAATGGCAGAGTAGCAGTGTGTGTGGCGGCTCATGAGAGCAGTGACAGGTGAGCTGATTGACACAGCTGTTGCTCGTTGTCTAATCCTACTCTCCCTTTAAATGCAGTAGCGTGCCAGACTTCGGATGACTCTCTCACACACACCAAACTTTATGGACCAGAAAAGCCGGGCAACCAGGAAGCGCACGCTCCAAGAGTCATATATGTTTTAAAAGTGTGTTGTCAGTTGGTAGCAGTTTGTGCTGGGAGGACTCTCGGTGGCAGCAGTCTTGTTGGCAGGTTGTTGGAAATGTTCTCTCATCTTTCAAGGCCATCAAATATCAACTGATCTGTGGCCAAACAATCGGAGCGAGCACCCATGACCTGATCAAAACGTGGCAATAAACTTCTGCAAAGGCAACCGAAAATATAATAAATGGGGAGACATTTACAGACAACACATTGAACTTGGATGGATATTTGAGTCAATGTAACGCTTGAGAAAAAGAAAATGTTTTACATGAAAGGGAATATTTCACATCGTTTTGTGGGGGGAGGTTTTCTTGCACCGTCATGGTCCTGTAAATACTCAGAGCACCAAATGTGTATTCATCCGTAGCTGAAAATAGTCCCGTTTGAGTAATTTTGCCATGCAGCTGTTTAGGTAATTTTGCCTTTTAAAAAAAAAAAAAAGATGAACATTGTTTTTTTTTTCTTGTCATCGGCCAGCCGCACACATTTACGCTCAGTTTTGGATCCAGGCTCTGCAGGTGTTCCTAACACCTGCACTAAGAGCAATATCATTATTTTTACCTGTTTTGTTATGTCTTTAAAGCCCCTCCCCCATCCACTTTTTTTTTCTAATGAACCCAACATGTACGCACTGAACCACATGCCCATTGACAGTGACACACAGTGGCCGTTTTTCAAGCCCAGTCGAGCATGAAGTGGAAACCCTGCTACTCTTCATGGCCCAGTGGCCTGAATGCTCACCTGACACTGATGTTGAGGTGATGACAGAAGGCAGAACAGCTCTCACTTTTTATTTTCTCTCTCTCTGAGCAGCTGATGACAGGTCGAGCTGAGGACATGAGATGAGCTAATACTCACCGCAGTATTACATTTTCCAATAAGTGTATGTGTGTGTGTGTGTGTGTTAGCGTCAGAGCTTGGGCTTGGTCAGTCCACCGGGAGTCATATATCACATTTAGCTGCTTTTTCATCCGCCATCAGTACAAACTGGTCCTGTTTATCTACAGGAAATGTTCTCATCCAATGACCTAGTGTTTTTGCAGTCTCATACTTGCAGACCAGACAGAGTCGGAGTCGATGCAGCGCCTTCTAGTGGACAGAGAAGTTACATGTGTGCACTAGAAAGGACTATGTTGTCTATCTGAGCTCTGCTCAGAGAGAGCAGGTTTGTGCCTGCTCTGGTAAAAGTGATATATTTGCCTTTTATTGAATAGGTCAGGATTGTCCGCTAAGAGCTGCTAACTGCAAATTAATGGATTTAAAAGGGGTGCTTTGTGTCATTGTATTCAGTTTCATCATCATTCTTTCATTTAATAAGCTGGAACCAGAAAATGTTCTGCTGAATAAATGATTTAATGAATTAATCAAATCAAAATATTTACTTATCATTTTCTGATTCAGCTCAACATACCACATATAGTTTAAATTCAGTCCGATTCAGGCAACACAACGTGAGATATAAATCAGAAAAAGAGAACGTGAAGTCATTACCGTTATTTTAAATGTCCGTCTTCTGCCCTTTGACATTTTAACAAGCCGGTTTTGTTGTCCGCCTGAACTCCGATTGTCCTCCAACTGCGAACACGTCCAACAGTCTGGCTCAGTTGATTTATAATATTATCTTCAGTGTTTCACAGGGACATGGTTGTTCTGAGTAGCCCTAAAAAAAGACACAGACAGTTGTATTTGATGGTTGTAGTTTTTCTACTAACACCCTCTCTGTCGTTAAATTGTTTGGAAAGTTTGGAAAATCCACATTAGCATGAAGTTAGCATTATGTTACTTTGACATTGTTATTGAGCTTCTGCGGTGGAATGGTGTGTGCGCTGAATCAAAGGCATCTGAAGCTCCTCTCTGCCCTCTTCCCCCAAGACCAGATGGTGTCTCTTTAGGCCCTCTAATGAATATTGATATGAGGGGTCTTGGTGAACAACAGGGGGGGGTACACAGGCTGGGCCAGAGATTCCCAAACTTGGCACTTGGTAAAGGTCTGCATTGAGGGGACTGGGTGTGGAAGGACGAGGGTCTGTTTGGAACTTAAAGGACCACATCACTGAGAAACAAAGTGTTTTTTTTTTTTTGTCTTATGCTCCGAAGCTCCCTCATGTCCCATATTGGTAAACTGTCTTGCACAAATTAATATGGATTAGAAGCTAATGAGTATCACTAAGTCGCCAGAGTGATATCATCCAGACCACATGGCAAGCTTTGGTGTAAAGTTTAAAAAAAAGGAGTGAAAAAGTCAAATGAAAGAGACATTTTTCAGCAAAAAGACTGAGATGAGAAGTGCTTATATATAGAGGGAAAATAAAATGTCAGTGTGTAAGGTGAAGAGACGGACAGGTTAAGTCACTGGCAGAGTTAATCCTCTGGCATGACTCCCATGTCTAAAGCTGCTCTCCCGAAGGCCTCGGCTTATTCAAGCCCCCACTCAACCCAGAGGCTGAGCCACCGCCAGCACCCCAGTCTGGGCAGTCTGACCCGGGACACCGGGGTGGAGATTTCTTCACTCTGTGCTTCCCCACCTGTTTTTCCAGGGCCAGGAGGGCCGGCGGGTGTTTAGATGAAGGTAATTGAGTTAGCACCCTCCAGCGTGTCCCTCCAGCTGGTCCGGGCCAGCTGTCGCCCCCTGCTGTGCCACTTTATTGTGAACAAACATCCATTCAGAGGGCCAGTGGATCAATTGCTGCTGCTCCAGAGGGGAGATAACCTGTGGAACTCGGCACCGGTTGTATATTTGGCACAGAATCAGCCTTTTTAGTTGTGTTTTTTCTTTTCCACAGCCGTGTTGTATTTCATACCCTCTGCAGTTTGTCAGGAAACATCAGTAGGCGCGCACACAGCGCCGTGAGAGCAGCAATGATGTGTCAGCTATTTTTAACTCAAACTAGACCTCTGTGGCTACGAGGCAAAGGGGGCAGACAGCAAGAGAGAGAGAGAGAGAGATGTGGAGGAGGAGAGATCGTGAGAGACGGGGACACTGGAGAAAGTGATGCAGTGAGGAAAGTGCATTGAAATAGTTGTTGTTTAGCTTTTCACTGTGAGGACACAACCTCTACTGTCAAATGTAGAGCCCTGTGGCCCTTAGATAATGAGACAGAGTGTCAGACTTATGCACGGTGCTGAAGGCTTTCATTAGGGAAAGGACGATGACAAACAGAAGTACATAACCCTGAAATATATCAGTGATTACGGTGTAGTTTTAGCTTTAATTATAGTCGTAATTTGAACTGCGTCATAGTAAACACAAGGAGGAAAGCCTCCAGTGCTGCACACTTGCTATAATAACACATTATTATGACAGAAGCTGGAGAATGTCATTTCTTTCACAAAGACTGGTTCGGGACTCACCGGTGGGACGCCGGATATTTTATTAGGGTCGCTTAATAAATTTGCAGAATTTCTTCCATAGTCCTCTATCAGCAAGTGCGCCTTTCAGCCACATGAGAGAGCTTAGATGTTCATATTGATGTAATAGTTGTTGCCTTCTTATATAATTAATTCTTAAATAATATGGCTGGCGTACATTCTGTTTTTTACTGATGACAGAGGAAAGAACAGCCTGTGAACTCCACTTAAATGCATTTATTTGGTCTCATTTATAACGTATTTATAACGTGAACACATAAAACAAAGTTGTGGTAAATGTTTACCTCTTGGAAATGGCCTGTTTACCTATTTAAGATAATATAAGGTGATGGAAGTAAAAATGGTCAGGAACTATATTTACGCACAAATTCACTCTCGATTTATAGATAAGGCCTGCTGTGAATTGGGTCAAAAAAGTTTGGGAAACACTCGATTATTACATTTTACAGCAATTATCAAGGTAGTTTCCTATCAATATATATATATTGTAATTTCCATTGTTCAAACTTTATGTAAACCCTTAACAGTGTTTTCCAACCAGTGGGTCAGAATCCCTCAGGGGGTCTCAAGATAAGTCTGAAAGGTCAGATTTCTCTCAAATTGTCCCTTTTTTCCTATATAGTTTTATCTTTCCAGACTCTCTGCATTGACGATCACACGTGTCTGTCTGTATTGAGGGAAGTGGGGGTGGATGCCTCCTGAAAGCCAAACTTTGACAGCCGTTGTGCTGGTGGTGGTGGGGGGGGTTCTTCATTTGACAATAGAGAGAGGGTTGCAATGGAGAGAGCCAGTGTGAGCGACAGAGCAAACGAGAGAGAGAGAGAGAGAGAGAGAGAGAGAGAGAGAGAGAGAGCGAGCAGGGGGGAAGGGAGGAGAGTATCAGACTCGGGGATAAGGCGGACAGGCTGCTCGGCTAGAAGCAGATCTTATTGTGTACTTGTCCTTCCCAAGTCACTCAGACACTCTGCAGAAGGAGGAGAGGGCTTCTCACTCTGCCCATCTACGCTCACTCTCAAGATTTTACTCATTTTTTAATCCTCAGAGTTCAGAGCATCTGGATCCTTTTTTTGTTTTCTCACCACTGACAGAAAGAGGACTTGTTGGACTTTGCTTTACCGCAATGTTTTGATTTCTGTATCTGATATGGCGCTCGTGTAGACATGGTGGTTTACTTGAGGAAGAGCATCCACACTCTGCTGTCGGTCTTCAAGAAGAAGGGTGAGTGCTGACTCACGTGGAGGAATTTGGCAGGATGGAGCTTTGACTTTAGGCTGCGCTAGTTTACACGACAGTAATACTCTTTAACTTTGCTCTGATTGAGGTTTCTGGGGTTCAGCTGACCTTTTTTTCCAATTCTTGATACAACCTAAAAGTTTTGTGTTGCATGGTTGAGGTTGTCAGGTGGTGGTTTAGTAGCATTTTTGTTTTAGTGATGAAAGTTGCTGATTTTGCGCACTGATCATTGTCTCTCTGTCTCACACACACAAACACACAAACACTGGCATGCAATAATTAGAGTTGAAGGCAGTCTGGGGGGGGGGGGGGGGGGGGTTCTCTCCGATGAGATAAGGGGCTTAACTGACTTTTTTTGGCGACCGTCTAAATCGACCAAAAAGCCCTAAACCTCCCGCAGGGGTCTGGTGGAATCTCATGAAGGGCTGCTTCTCCAGTTAATCACAACTGGCAGTGAGAGCAAAACACCTTAAATGTGAGTAACAAGCACTCTGCAGCGGCCGTTTTGTGATGAACTTGGTCTCCGTTTCTTGGATTGCATCAGAAGGTCCACAATGACCTGAGATTTCCCACAGACACACACACAGGGGAGGGCATTGTGTCTGGGCTGCCTCGCCTGTGTGAACGCCCGAGGACAGGGGTACACACAAACATGTACAGTATGTACATCCACACCCGCGCAGTGTTACCTTACCGGGTGAGACTGAGAGCCACAGTGTTGAGAGTGACAAAGGAGCGAAAGCAGACACCTCGGGTTGACCTTTCATTAGCTAACAACAGACAATATACAATTTATATAACTCACACAGCCCGCACAGCTTAAAGCAAACAAACACGCATACAGAAAATAAGAATAATAACAAACAAATTCCATCATTTTTTTAGACCCTTCTTTAATTTAACCTCATTTAGCTTCCCCTGCCTACTTGAAGTGATGACCTCTAGAATGAAATAGCCCCTCACAGGCAAACCACAAACCACAAAAGTCCAACTGTCTTTGGCAGTCACATCAAAGATGAATTTGTTAGTCAATAGCGCAACAACATTTAAGACCAGAGGGCTTCCATCTCTGTTTGCGTGCACACACTCCAGGCAATCTCCGTCTCTTGAACACTGAATTTAGTATAACTGAACTTCAGATGGCCGGGTCTTTGCTCCCATTGGCCCTGCTAACTTTGGCTGTATTGACTGCTGTCCAACTACATCTTTATTTTTATTTTTATTTTCAAATCTTAATTTCCTTTGACATTGAGTAAAGCCCACCTGAGGGGGTCCGGTGGCATCTTTACCACGCGGACAATCCGGATAATCTAATCCTCCATTGGCTAGAAGAGAGATACTGCAGGAGATTAGCCAGGTTACTGCTGAGAGCCTGGTCAAGCTGGGACGTCTGCCCAGCAAACTGCTCGGCTGAGGAGATTTGAAGAGTGCGATGCGTCGAAGGTGCACAGATAAACGCACGCTCGCGACAGGTGGAGGTGCAGAGGATTCACCGTAAAGCTGATAAATGTCTTGGCAAATGGACACCTGCTGAGTGTGCGTGTATGCGTGTTGATGTTTGTCTCTTAAGAGGACGAGGAAGTGCCGCTGGAAAGACGGTTTAAAAGGCTTGTAGAAAGAGCGGGTGTGTTTCAGAGTGTGTTGTTTTTCGTTCAAAGAGCAAAAAAGAAGTGTAATAAAGCTGCTGTTGAATGACATTTGAATTCAGTGTTAACCTGGTACCAATTCCAGCCTATTAGCACTATAATTTAAATCGAAGCGCAAATTGTTGATTATCCTAAGAGCCAATTCCGTTTGTCTTCTTCTCCGTTTAACCCAAACCCTTTCGTTCTCCACCATCCCAACAGCTGGCCCGAAAGGGAATGAAGACCAGAAGAGGTTGACCGTCCACTACAGGACCTCCCAGCACTACCAGGAGAATGTTTTCATTGAGGGCAGCAGGCCGCAGTACCTGGAGGACCTGCACACCGAGGCCCAGGAAGGGCTCAAGATACTACAGCAGGAAGGTCAGACGCAGCGCAATGAACATGAAAACATATAAGTTCATACTTACTAGCATTTATATGTGTTTTATACTGATGTACAATTAATAAAAACTCATCTAACTAAAGTTTACCCACAATGATTGCATGGACTATGGTTAGAGTTTGAGCGTATTCAGATTCTGTGTCTCATCCTCGTCTATTTTGTTCACACAGAACACACGAACGGAGTGAACTTACCTGACGATGAGAGCGTTGCTGTAAGTGCCCCAAAAGCTCTGTGTGTCATTCATGTCCTACACACTAAAAATGCCACCAAACTAAAAAATACTGTGTGTGTGTGTGTGTGTGTCCGCTGCAGTCTACAGACACTCTGCGACCGGAGCAGGATGTCAGCTCCAAAGACGGAGGTGGCTCTCCGGTGTCCAGATCCACGGCCGGGGGTTCTGATACCACAGTGACCTCTGCTGTGTCGACCAGGCCTGTGCTCACCCGCCAAGGTAAACCATAGCTGTGTGTTTGTGTTTAGAGAGAGACTGTGAAAGGAAGCATCCACGTCTTGTTTATCTCAGTAAAACAAGAGCTAAACACAGTGTGTGTGCGGAAGCAGTCTGCGCTTTGTTCCTGGGTTTGCTGCTTTATGGCAAGTCATGAGCGTGTACTTATTTAGCATGCACGTCTCATTCTCAGCTGCTTGGTGCCTCTGCAGTTGATGGTGTGAAATCAAAGGAAAAGCAACACACGGGCACACAACTGAGGCTTATTTTCAGTTTCTCAAAAGTTCTAAGCGAAGTTCACAGCACTCGGGCTGCCTTTGCATATCATAGCTGGAAGGCAGAGTATGTCATTCTGTGTGTGTGTGTGCGTGTGTGCGTGCGTGCGTGCGTAGAAAGTGTGATTGGTATTCTGGTCCATACATCAAACATCCTTTCTAAAATCCTCTGGAGAAGCCATTTCCCCAATATACTATGTTATATTATACTACCGAGTTTCAATGCTTTATCGTGCATTATTTCACCAATTTCTTCTCCTGTGGCAAATACAGCTTTTTCATTGAAAAAATAACCTTCCTCATTCAGTCAACAGTGATTTTTCTCTGTTGCTCAGGTTCAACATTCAAGCCTCTGAATCCAGTTAAAAGACTAGATAAGAGCAGGAAGAGGAGCCGGAGGACCACCATCATGGGTATTCCCAACCAGGTCCAGAAGGAACTTGGTATGTCCACACCAGCATACTAAACCAGTAGTCATAATGTTTCCTTGGTGGTAAACTTGTTACTGACAGTGATCTGACCTCTTCGCAGCATTGCACAGAAGCGCAACCTTCCAGCAGCTTGTTTCTACCCCTAAAAACGACGGAAAGCTCAGTAGCAGCCAATCGGGTGTAGTTATCATTCCAACAGTTGATGGAGGGACTCCAGTAGCGAATAAGGAGGGAGCGAGGGTGCACCTTTCAGAGCTGGAGGTAAAGGGTTCTTCACAATAGTTATATAACATACATTACAGGTTTTTATCACTTAATAATGGTCTTCTCTCCAATCCTAAACAGGCATCCAGAGAGGAACAGCTGATGAGGCAGCACCTCCAGGAAATGTACCAAGACGAGCAGCCCTTCAACCACCAGGGCTTTGGCTCCTACCACTGCCCCACCTCAGCAATGAGACCCAAGTCCCTTGCAGTACCTGGCATGACCACCTCCTCCTCCTTATGTCCTTCAGCGATGTATAGATTCCTCCAGGAACCCCAGGTAAGAATTAAATCAGTTTGGATATGGCTTTAAGATTCAATCTTCTGTATTTTACCAGATACTTTGTTGACCATTTGTGAAATTTAGCTGTGAAATTCACATTTCTCTGTTTGGTTCTAGGGTCCCGTGATGTCCATGTCTCCTCAGGCCACCTACATGTCTACAATCATCCCTAATGCGGTCTTGCCAGCCTCAATTGAAGTCATCGAGATCGACCGCAGCAGCAGCCGGACGCGTGGCAGCAGTGTGAGCCAAGGCGGTAATGTCCGCACTGTGAGCAGAAGCAGCCTTGCATCCGGGGACTTATCAGTCAGTCCTTTGTTGTCCAGAAGATCAGACAGTGATGGCTCCCAAACTGACAATTCCCACGACGACTCCACACTGATGCCCTCATTGGCACAGTCTTCAAAGACCATTATGTCAAACTACTCCTCAGTATCCTCCAAGGGTAGCACGAGAAGCGGTAACTCACGGAGAGTGAGTCTGAATGGGCGGGAAAGCCAGACAGAGAAGTCTAGCAGGGACCAAGATGTCGTCAGTCTCCATAGCTCAGTTAGCATAATTAGCAGCTTCAGCACTAAAAGGGAAAATGTAACAGGTCAAGGATCTAAGTCTGTTTCAGGGTCAATGGCTGCTGGGGACGATGAAAAGACCAAACAGAATTTCTCTCGTCTGTCGGTTATGAAGACCAAGCAACCCCCGGCCCCTCCACGGAGAACAAACTCTCTGCATAGTAATAAGATCAGGAGCAACCCCAAGGTTCTGGTGGATCTCAATGACTCTGTGTCTGGAGATGGGGCAAATGCCACAGAAATTATTGTAGCAAAGGATGAGATGAAATCAGTTATTGCAGACACCAGTAAGATCTCAACCCTTGTGTCAAACTCCACTGGGTCCAGCTGTCTAGATGTTTCCTCCAGTCCCTTGAGCACCACACAAGCCTCTTTCACTGAGGCAGGAGTAGCAACAAAGCCTCAGCCAGAATCCAGTAGCTCCTCCCCACAGAAAACTTCCTCGGAAGAGGGGAAATTTGAACGGACCATGTCCCCTTCCAGTGGCTACTCGAGTCAGAGTGGCACTCCGACACTCTCCCCAAAAGGGATCTCCTCAACCTCCCCCGACAAACAGAAGAAGAAACCTGTCAAACCAGAGAGATCAGTGTCTCGGGGCTCATCCTCAGCAGCTTCTCCCTCCTCCTCGCTTACCTCTCTGTCGTCTGGTACGTCTGAGCCTGTCCATCCAGATGTTTCCACATGTAGCCCCAGTCTGCCCCCACAGGGATCTCCACCCACTGTTGCTGCAAAAGACTTCACTCCAGATAACGATTCTTCGACTTTGGGAGTTGAAATCGGAGAGCTGTTGAACATCCCACCACCTCCCAAAGTCAAAGCGCCATGTCCTCCTCCACCGGAGACATGGATTCACAACAGATGCACCTTTCAGCTCCTGTGTGGGCCTTGCCCTAATGTAAGCAAAGTAACCCAGCCACCAGCACAGACACAAGACAGCACAGTTAAACAGACGGGTACCCAGACCGAAGCCATCATGGAGATGCACGTTTTAGAGGAAAAACAATCAAGTGTAGACAAATCTGTCTTAGAATTGTCAGAGAGCAAAGCAAACCCTGAGACTTTGATAGAAACAGGTCCTGAAGGAGTTCACAATGAGATGAAGAATAAGGAAAGTCTGAGTACCGAAGAAGAAAGGATGGAAGCAAGTATAGACGTTCAGAAACAAGAGCAGAGTAGTAGCCCTGCAGTGAAGGACCCTAAGAGTCCAAAGAAAGATCCTCCTCCTGTCATGAAGAAACCCATGACCGTACTGAACAGAGAGGTGTCAACAGAACACTCACTGGACAGACAGCAAAAGAAAATGAGTAGCAGTGCCCCGACAGATGTTTGTTTACATGTTGAGGACCACTCAACCTCCCCACAGCATGGGGTCACAATTTTAGTTGATAAGAGTGATGATGTGATGGACAGAACTGAGGTCACAACCATGCAGGTGCTTTCTGTAGAGGTCCCCAAAATTAGCAAGGCCTCACCACCACCTACCCCTCCCCCAGCATACCACCCTACACCTCCACCGTCAAGAAGGACACCACCTTCGTCAGTGTCCACGCCACCAGATGAATTGCAGAGGGTACAGGAGGAGATCCCTGCTGTCGAGTCTTGCTGGCCACCTCCTCCGCCTCCTATGGAAGGGGACTCAGTCTTTGACGGAGGAGATGAGGTGGACTTTCCTCCACCTCCTCCACCCTTACTGACAGACAGTGTGCCAAATGTCATGGGCAGTTGCATCACAGAGCTGGATGTCTCAAAAAGACCCACAGAGGAAGTGGGAGAGTCAACTGAGGATTCGACTGAAGCTGGGACATCTGTACTTGGACAAATTCCAGATTTGTCCCCTGCTGTTCCTCAAACAGTAACTGACACCAAACCAGAGGTTGTTGTGCAAGTTTCAAAAGCCAACACAGCTGGGGAGATTTTGTGCAGACCCGTTACAAACTTTGTATCTGTTTCAGAGAATGTCCCATCTCCCCCAGTGGTGGCACCCCCTTTTCCACCCATTACAAGAGTAGAGAACCAAGTATTAGTCCCTGTTTTAGTTCATCCCTGCAGTTCCCTGAAGCGCGTCGCTCTGTCCGAGCCTCCCGTCAGTGCCCAACCTCAAATTGCTGTCCCAGTAGCACCAACTTTACCAGCAGAGAACTTCACCCACGGGATAAATTTCAGAAGGCAGCCTAGTGTACCAAACCGAGACGCCAGGAGCAAGGAGCTGCTTTCCCGCCACAAGAGTGCCCCCATTCCTAAAGAGGATGCTAACATACCTCTAGTCACCCCCTCCCTGCTTCAGATGGTTCGCCTCAGATCAGTCAACATGACTGAAGATCAGGTGAAGGCTCCATCGGAGGACAAGTCAACAAACCAGGTAGATTCAGTTCAGGAGAATTGCTCAGTCTTAATCCCAGGATCTCAAAACGTTCCACAGAAGCCCATCCGTAAGTCTCTATCACTAAAATCTCCCCCTCAGGCAGTAAAGACATCCTCTGTGGTGCTACACACCCCTTCCATGCGCCTACAGGAAGCCATACGTATGAAAACTGCAGCCATGTCTTCTAGAGATGGTCTTCCATCCCGACTGGGTGTGAGATCCTCCACTTACAGCTCTGTCGGTGAACATGGGGCTCTGTCCCTGAAATCCCCTGAGGGATGTGACACGCACAAGTCCCCAGCCTCTACCGCCAGCTTTATCTTCTCTAGGAGCACAAAAAAGGTTGTTTTCGAGACCGCCGCCGCCTCCTCCCCTGAAGCTCAGGCAAGTCTGAAGCAAAGCTTGGCGGCAGAGCTCCTGCAGGTGTCTGACCAATCAAATAGCACCTCTTTCTCCAATGGTGGTGTGAAGTTGGACAAAGTTCCTCCTCCAGTGGCAAAGAAACCAGTCAACAGTCCGTCACAGAATCTTCCTGCTTGTTCATCAAAGATGGACTTCAGCGTCGAAGGAAACGGAGCGATAGGAGGAGTGCAACACACCGGTGGAATAACACTTCCTGAGACGACGAGTAAGAGCAGCCTCATCATTTCTAACCATGGTTTTCTGTAATCTGCGAAAGTCACGAAAGACTGCCTTCTGCTGAGTGTGTAGTCATTGAGGCTGATTCGGTGCTAGCATGAATCAATAGCTACTCTCTCTCTCATTACCATGATCTTGAACAGCTAAGCAGTTTCACATAGTGTTAAACAGCATATTTTCTCTCCATACAAACAAGAGAAAACTGCACACAAGAAGCCACCTTCCACACAAAAACACAATGCTGCTAGCTTGCCTTCAGCTCTCTGCAGTCAAATGTGCAAGCGTGCGCTTCAATCAGCCATAACCCTGAAGCTCGTGATCATGTCTCAGTGACTGAATTAGATTAGGGCCGAATACTCATCAAGTGTGTTCCTGTAACTGTATTATGTCGATGCCATCATGTCTAACCTCCTCTTGTCTTCCCCCTTCAGCTACGAGAATGACGGCGGACACAATTGAAACACTGTTTTGAAAGAGCGTCGGACCATCCAGAGGATCAAGCAGAGACTACAAGTAAAAGGACAACTCTCAGCAAGGACTGACATTACTGAGAGACGTTTAACTCAACTATCAAGAGTGTTGTGTGTGTTAAGTCTTCTCCAAAAGCCTTAGCCTGTAATGGCCTTCCTACATATTTATGCAAAAAAGAAAAGGTGTCGCTCCCAATTTCTTATGATAGCTTTATTCTGGAGTATTTTTCTAAGGTATAGTTTATCTCTCATTAAGGCCCCTCAGGATGAAATGGTGTACATTGGCTGAACTGTAAATATTTGGCTTCATAGATCGCCTCCCGGAGGCCGAAATAGGTAGTGGTCACTGCAGCTCAGAGGAAAGGATTTGTCTTGATAAAGCATTTCTGTACAGAGCTCTACTGTCTGTTAAGTCTGTTTTTTCCCCTTTTGTAATATAATACACAATTAAGAAGTTGTCAGAAAAATGGCATCCGCTACATGACAACATTTTAACGCCTTCTTGGCTTAAAGATCGAAGTAAAAACACAAAGCTACACTCAAGTTTCAGTCCTGCTTTTCACTGTGTGGATAGATATATCTGGAGTAGTATGTGAGTAAAAGGGATGCTGCACACTCACAAGAATGAGAGGAGGATAAACCATTAAGACCTAACGCAGAAAAGCATCCGATTGCAGCGACTGCTAAATGCTTTTACACAATCTGCACAATCCCTTCCTGGGTTTAGTGACTGAGAAATCTTTTAGCACAACAGCAACACAAGCATCCTATTTATTTATGTGTGGTTGTTTCCACTCGTAGCACTGTCAGTCACCTTTTCCTACCAAATATGAAATATTTAAGAATCTATTTCATCTGACAAACCACTCTTATAGGGCAATGGATGCGATTGGCCTTGGATGATTGATACACTGGAGTAGACTTAATTATGAGGTCAGCGTTTTTTTATTAAATGTTCCGCGTCTAAAACTTTTAAGCCCAAACCTTTTCGGTGGCAAATCCAGCTCATCGCTCTTTGCACAAAATGCTTTCCCCCAGCAAAAATCATTGGTGAGTGAATTATACCGACTCTTCGTAACGGGTCAAAAAATGTACGTCTGTCTCGATGATTATAAAGAATTATGTACAGTTATTACTTCTATAAATAAAAAATCTAAGTGTATTAAAAATGTGTTTCCTGCTTTGTTTCTTGAACGATGTGATGCAGACACACTTCAACATAAGAGCGTCTCTCATCCGACACAAACCCATTCAATCTCTGCACACCACCGATTTCAGCCAGCGTTTATTTCAGAATAGAGCTGATGCACCATTTGATTATATGACAGTCAATGTCCAGATGTTGATTTCTGTACACTTCCCCCAACACAACCATCCTATGTCTTATAGTATATTGATTTTCTAAATATAGAACTGATGTCTGAAGCCCTTAGAACATTTTATATTCATCAGGTTTTTGTGGATTGGCCAAAGATCTGATGTTTACAACGAAGGCAATTCCAACCCAGAAAAGTACTTTAAGTCCCTTTTTAAACACCTGAGATTCCTTATCAGTACCGGCATTTGATTAAGTAACCCCAACCCTTCATTATCATGTGTAACAGAATGTCTCATCAGCAGAAACTCTGGAATTTGTATATTTAAGTGTGTGAACAACATACAAAACCAGGTAAAAAAAGAAACCGTAATGGATCATAGCATTGTACACTTTCAGGAATTAAATGTTCTAATATAGTCAAAGCAAGGTAACAGAATTTGTCACATCCTGTCCGAAGCATCAGACTTTTGCCGTCGACGTCCCACAATCCTCCAGGAGAGACCTCCAGGTGAAGTGTGACTGTTAAGCTGATAAAAGTATTGTAGTTGCGACGCGGCCGGCGGGAGCAGCTTGAGTGGTGAAATGTGCTGCGTCTAGCTGATGTTGCCTCCTTTGAGTGTCTTACATGTGATCTGTCCGAGTTGAGTCATCAGCTGCTTGTCTTTCCACTGAGCCACACACGCGTCTGATATCTTCAGGTCGGCCTGAGGAGACAGAAACAATAATACAATTGTTATTATATACAGTCAATCCTCTACAGATGACACACTTTATTCTAATGTGCCATTATGGAAATAATATGTTCCACTCTTTGGAAGTCTGATTTAAAAGATGTGCTCTGGCTCCAACTTCTCTAAGAAATCATAACTTACTTGCTTGAAAATTACAAATAGATCATAGAATAATTTAATAATAAACCACCACAGTTAGCAGTTACAGGATAATGTAACGTTCCCATGTGTTTATCGTGACTGGAAAATTGGTCAACTGTTTCCCAGGATGCATCTGAACCCTGAATAATACCGGAATCTCTCTGAATAGTGTGACAGTACAATCTTGACTGAAACATACCTGTACTTTCTCCCACACCTTCTTCTTTGGGTTGAGTCTGTCGTCTGGTTTGGCCGTCTCGTAACCCTCGACAAACACCCGTTCTCCTGGCGACGACCCCTCTGGGGGGTCCAGAGGCTCCACCCTCCTGGGCTCCCCTTCACTGGAAACCAACCAATCAGAGGGGAAGAATTATAAACAACATAAAAAACAATGAAGCCGAGCGTGTGTTTGTGTAACAACAGAAACAACACTCACACAGAGGCACACAGCAGCATGGCTTGAGACTCGATCCCTCGCATCTTCTGGGGTTTCAGGTTGCACAACACCAGCACCAATCGGTCCTGCAGGTCCTCCTGGGAAACATAAGCCACAAGACCGCTGACCACCGTTCTCGGCTCCGGCTCTCCCACGTCAATCTTCTCCAGGTACAGCGAGTCAGCGTCTGGATGCTGCATGTGTGGAAAACAAAGAAACCCGTGTGACCACAGAGAAAGAGGGCTGTAAGATGGATCCTCTCCACAAAGGCCGTATTGATCAGTTGATCGGCCATCCAGTGACGTCCTACCTTCTCCACACTGATGATCTTGCCCACCCTGATGTCCACTCTGGAGGGGGCCAGCTCCTCATCCTCTCCTCCTCCTCCTCCTCCTGCTGCCTTGGCACCCTTTCCTGCTCCTTCTGATCACACACGCACACAAGTTGTTGACATCCCAATTCATGCGTTTGGATTAAAAGAATGTGAGAAGGAAAACAGAGGGGATGCTGGGTAAAATACTGACTCGTCTTTGAGGGGTCGGGGTAGGCGGTGTTGGTGAGTTTGCGGAGCTCGGGCGACTCAAACTTCTTTCTGATTGGCTCCAGCAGTTGGTTTAGTGCCACCTCCACCGAGGCCTTCAGGTCTCCCGGATGGACCGACTACCAGAGTCAGATCGCCAACAATTAGATCAGAGCAGAGAAGAATATTAGCAAAGATATACTTGAATTCTTTTATACTTCAAATAAACCAGTGTGTCTATGTTACAGGTGGGCTTATACGGAATCGGTTTCTCTCTTCTACACCCATTTGTGTTTCATTAAAGAGTAAAACTCTTTGTTTGTACTCTTTGCTTCTCACTGCTGTTGAGAGGAGCATGTTTGTGAATGATGGATGAAGGTAGTTTGCACATTCAATTAACAATAATAAATATATTTTTGTTACTTGTCCTGTTTTAACATGCATGTGATTAAGTTATTAACAAAAGCAACATGAAAGTACATCAGCATAAGCTGCTTATAATTATAAAAATGTATTGATAACAGTGGTCCGTGTCCTCCATCACTTGGTATCAGACAATCTACACTTTACCTCCTCAGCAAAGTCCTTCTCCACCTCTTCAAACACGGTGTAGATTTTGTCTCCACCAAACTTTGGGTCTCTTTTGATGCGGAACTCTGAAACACAATGATCCCAATTACCAACTCATTTTACCCGAGTGGAGGAAAAGTCGGGGACAACAGACGGAGAACAGTTTCCTACCTCCGCGTAGTGGGAAGATGACGTATTTGACGAAGGAGAGGACTCCGTTGTTCTGGATGTTGCCGGGCTCACAGAAAGCCTTCTTCAGCTTCTTCTTCACGTCTCCAGCAGAGTCCAGCAGATCGATCTTTGACTCCTGAACCGGAAGAGATGATGGACCGATCACAGGCTTTAGAAGAGAGTGTTCATACAAATCTTCACCTGTATTCTTTTTAACGGTGACGTACTTCCTCTGAGGAGCTCATCTTGGCCCCCGTCAGTCCGGGCACCATCGGGTTCATCAGATGGGAGCGCTTAGCGTAGCCAAGAGAAGGCAAGTACTGGAGACAGAAGAGGGGCTTCGCTTACAATCTACATCTTATAGAGATGTTATTCCGAAAACTGTTTCACGGGATCACTCTGCTGGTCATTTATAGCTCATCATTTCTATAAATGATCTTCATAATCTATTTATTAGCACTTGGAATAAATAAATTAGCTTTTTAAAATAAGGCCAATAACCTCACAGCTACTGCTAAACTAAACAAGTTCCACAAGAGCGGAAATTGAATGTGAAGAGGTTAGAGGTCAGTAATGTGAGAGGGTGACGGGTTGATATGATGTGCAAAGATGGAGGCAGATGGTACCTTCTCTGCCAGAGTGAAAATCTTCCTCTGGTCAACTCCTCCAAACTGGGCGTCCACCTTCAGGTACTCCTCATCCAGAGCCTGAGAGCGAAGACAAATCACATTTACCGATCCAATCGATCACAACAGCATGTAACATGTTTATGAAAAACAACACAGAGTGCACTCGTGATCACATCCGCAAGCTGATATTTGGAGTATTTATATCACAATATGTGGATATTGAGCTGTACTTCCTGTAATAACTAGTTATTTGATCACTTGGGACACAAAGAGAAGCAGAGTATTGTTATATCACTCCTTAGCAGCAGTTACTGCTGCATCTAGAACAGTGTTGTTACCTGCAGACCCGGGTAGAGCAGACCGCTCAGCATGGGATGCTCCACCTGTTTGACCACCTCAGCTCCGGCCTTCTTAGCGTCATGCTCCGTCACCATGGAGGACAGACGGTACACATCCAGAGTGTACTCTCTGACAAAACATGAACAAAAAACACACGTAAAATATGAGTTTATGGCTGCGGGTACAAAGTTTTAAAGCTAAATAACGGCGGCATATGTAGATGCAGCGCAGTGGAGCAAATGGGCAACAACCGCATGTCGTTGTGAAACCCTGTGTTGCGTAATGACAATAAATAAAACCCTCCATCCTTGAAACACATATTAAGAAAGTCTCCAGGACCGTCAGCAGCACAACTGACCTGCTGAGCTGGAAGTCAGTTCCTTTGACGAACTTGAGCTTATCCAGTGGCACACTGATGCTCTCCAGCATGGCCTTGATGACCTGTTCGTAGTACTTCACCCTGAGCTCCAGCAGCTCCCAGGGGGCCTTCATGTTGTCTAGGAAGGCATGCAAGTCTGCGAAGAGAATCGTGACCTGAGGGGAAAGAAGAAGAAAGCCACATGTGTAAGCAGAAGGAAGTGCAGATTAAATCTGAGTCTCTAACAGACAAGACGCTGAATGAGATCCATCCCACCTCACATCCGGCCTTGAGGAAGTCTGCTATCTTGCACATGGGGACAAAGTAAGCGACGTGGGGTTTTCCGGTGGTCGCTGTGCCCCAGTACACCTTCAGCTCCCTCTCCTGAAGAACCTGCTTCAGCTTCTCCTCTCCGAGGACCTCCTGCAACACACGCATTAATAAAGAGATTAAAGACAGCAGGCTACTGGGAGGGAAGGGGGGTGTTCAGTGTATTTTTTTGTTTGTGTATGCCTCACCTGGAGGTTCCTAGTTATGAGGTGAAACTTCTCATCCGGACTCAGCTGGTCTGTCATGGTGCAGAGTCTTCCGAGGAGGAAGTTGGGAGATTAAGCACAGTATGAATCAATGGCAGCAGCTGAGAGCATATCTGAGTTTAAACTCTGTTTAATCAGCTTCATGTTGCTTTTAGCCAAAGACAAAGAGATAACATTGTGAGAATTCATCCTAGAATTTTGACATTATGTGAAAAAAGAAACTGCTGTTCCCATATGCAGAATTATCCAGAAGACTGTACATCCGGGTAAGTTAGCCACTGAGAAAGATAACGTAGACATTACATAGACTTGATCGGCTAGTTAGCAATAAAATCATGTGCAGCTAACGTTACCGAGCTTTCGGTTAAAACTACAACCGTTACGGGAACTACATTTTGTTTACATCTAAAAGCAATATCGGTTTATTATAAAGCAATACTGTACAACCTGCTGACTCACCTTAAAAACCCGGCTTCTTACAATGAGACGTGGGTGAGTACGGACCTGTCAGTGTGTTGCATCAGCGTCAGCGTCAACTCTGCTATCGACTCACAATGAACTCCAGGGGAAAGCAATCGAGAGCAGAGTTCATGATTAAGAGGCAACACTTCGTTATTGTGCAGTTAGTGTGTTGTTGTTGTTGTTGTTGTTGTTGTTGTTATCGCCCCATTACAGGAGAGAAAAGGTGAACAATAAATACATAAACTGTTGTTGGGCCCCTTAAGAACTCTGGGCATTGTGTATATATATATGATATATATATGTGTGTATATCATATATATATATATATATATATATATAATAATTTGATATATATATATTATATTACCACCATTCTGCACTAATATCTCAAATTCATTGTTATTGTTCTTTATGTTCGTATGTATACTTTTGGATATATATTTATATTGTACATAGTAGTTAAATGTTTAAATGTTTACACTTACCTCTGCTCTACTTTGTTGTCTTTAATGTCCTTGTTTTTATTTTTTTATGTTTCTTGTTTATTTGTATATTCTATGTATGTACGTTGAGAGCAACATGAAAACCGTAGTCAAATTCCTATGCGTTCACATACATGTATGTATGTATATAT